GGCTCACAGTATCGCCTCCACACGTATCGCGTCCATATACCATAGATTCGGTCGTTCTTACCCCGAGATTAAATTGCGGAGATGTCTTCGCCTGCCTAGAAACCCTGTCGATCTACCCCACCTCCGCAGAGCCTACACTATCACCTATAGCCTACAAGGCTCGCCAAGCATGGGCCAAACTCGTTTAGGACCATGTACATCACGTATGGTGGACACACTCTTGCGTGCGGGCTAGCCGACGGATATCATACCGTAAGTGTGATGGTAGACCGGACATTGGATGGGTCAAGGCCGGTTGCAGTCAAGCTGTAACCGGGTATCTGGGTCGAAAATGTAAGTACAAATGCTTGCGTCTCGAGCCATCAGGCAGGAGAATAAGCCTTCCATCTGGTTGCGACTTCTTTCACTCTTTGCTTCATCTCAAGATGCTGAGAGCCTTCATTGGCCTTGTTAGTCTTGTCGGCTATGCGACCGCTCAAAGCGACTCCGTCAAAGTCAAATGGATCGATGATACACCAGAATACCTCGCTGGCGTAACGTTCGGTTTACCGTGGCCTCGTGGACAGCACCTTGCGAACGCTACAACCTTCACAGTATCCGGCGGCGCGGACCTTCAGTCGTGGGTCACAGCCTACTGGCCAGATGGAACGTTGAAGTGGACTGGGCATGCTCTGGGAGCCAGCGACTCTCCTGCCAACGAGTACACGGTCACAGCTTCAGGTGCAGGCAATTCTTCAACCTTGAAGTTCAAGCGTCAAAGCAACGGCATCCAAGTTAGCGACTCTGGCGAGGAGATCGTTGTCAACGCCGGCAAGGTCGCAGCAACATTTCCTAAGTCAGGCAATGTCCTGGTATCTGCCATCGAGGTTGGTGGGAAGACAGTCGGAAGCAACGGTCATCTAGTGTTACGCTCACAAGACGGTACACCCGATGATGACGAGGACGGTAAGCCGACCGGCATTGAATACTTCAGCTTTACCAGCAAGGTATCCAATGTCACAGTGTCGGAGGATAACACCGTTCGTACGTTGGTCACAGTCAATGGTGTTCACACTATTGACGGAGATGGTGCCCACAATGACTGGATTCCTTTCACTGTTCGCTTCTACCTCTACGCCAATTCTGAAGCGATTCGCGTTATTCACACGATCATCTATGATGGAGATATGCATAAAGACTTTCTTTCGGGTATCGGTATTCGCTTCGATGTTCCCCTCGCCGAAGAGGAGTTTTACGATCGCCATATCCGAATTGCGGGTGTTGATGGCGGAATTCTTCACGAAGCCGTCAAGGGCGTTACCGGTCTACGTCGAGACCCAGGTGTCGACATTCGATCTGGACAATTCAATGGTACTGTCCTACCGCCCAACTCCACGTGGGACCAAAGAGTGACTACTCGTCTACAGTGGATCCCGACATGGAGCGACTACCGCCTAACACAGCTCTCGCCTGATGGCTTCAATCTTAAGAAGCGCACAAAGGCTGGCCAAAGCTGGGTCAAAATTCCAGGTGGTACACGATCAGGCGGCCTGGCTTATTTAGGAGGAGCTACGGTTGGCGGTCTTGCCGTGGGCCTTCGTGATTTCTGGAAGAAGTATCCTACTAGTCTGGACATATCCAACGCCGCGACCGACACAGGATCGATCACCCTGTGGCTTTACAGCCCTCAGGCCGGACCTATGGATATCCGTCCATACCATGATGGACTTGGACAAGACACCTACAAGAAACAATTAGACGCTCTGGACATCACCTACGAAGACTGGGAAGGGGGCTATGATACTCCCTACGGCCTTGGTCGCACTAACGAGCTTTATATCTACGCGTTTGACACCACGCCATCCGCTGAACATCTTGCAACACTCACCAACTTCACCAACAACCCACCTGTTCTTATCGCCGAGCCAGAGTACATGCGGGATACCAAAGCAATCGGGTCGTATTGGGACGTGCCTGGTACCATTGAGTCCACCCAAGCGCAGACTATTGAGTCAAACATGGATTTCCTCATCAAGTTCTACGAAGACCAAATCGAGCAGCGCCGCTGGTACGGTTTCTGGGACCATGGGGATATCATGCATACATATGATGACGACCGTCATCAATGGAGGTACGATGTCGGTGGCTATGCCTGGGATAATTCAGAGCTGTCACCTGATCTTTTCTTTTGGGACTTTTTCCTGCGCACTGGCCGCGCAGATGCTTACAAGATTGCCCACGACCAAGTGCGTCATGGAGGTGAGGTTGACTCGTATCATCTGGGAAACTTCACTGGGCTTGGTACGAGGCATGGTGTTCAGCACTGGTCGGACAGCGCCAAACAGGCTAGGATCTCAACTCCAGTCTACCGTAAGACCTTTTACTATATCTCTGGTGGTGATGAGCGGACTGGTGACCTGGTACGCGAGGTCATTGATGCCGACAAAGCCTTCCTTCGTGTAGATGCGAGACGCAAGGTGCGAGAGCCTGGTATTGTCTACAACCCTGACCCCGAAGCATTGTTCCTCAACTTCGGAACTGATTGGGCTGGTATTGCACAAGCATACCTTATTGAATGGGAGCGTCGTGGGCCACGCTGGGAAGAATCGCGCAGAAAGCTTGTCGAATCTATTGTGACATACCCTAAGCTCAAGAACGGATTTGCCACCGGCGAGGCATTCTACAACAGTCTTACTGGAGCTTGGGCACCGCCACCTACGGACCCGAACAACACCGGCAACGTTACCGTTTCGCATCTGTCTGGTGTATTTGGCGTTCTTGAAACCATTGATCAACTAATGGATCACTTTGGTGCGGAGCAGAAGAATGTCACCCAACCCTTCTTCGACGCATTCCTGGACTACTGCTATTACTACGGCGCTGGGAAAGCCGAGCAGAGGGCCCGGTATGGCAAGGACTTTGGCAATCTCAGCCTGATGCAGGGTCACTCCCGCTTCACTGCCTATGTAGCTAACCACCGTAACAACGCGACACTCGTTCCAAGAGTTTGGTCAGAATTCTTGGGCGATGGTAGCAAGGACGGCCTTGCGCCGGGTGCTCCGTGGGCGAGAGTAAGGGTCGATGGAAGTGATGCACTTATCCCTGTTGATGAAGCTACATGGGTCAGCACAAATGCGGCAGCATTATATGGTGTTGCTGGTATTGAAAATTTGGCTCTTGTTGGTGCGCCGGATGTCAGCATTATTGGTAGTGGTAATGCTACTACAAAGAGGTCTGTATAGGCGCGCGCGTCGGAGACAAGCATACTTCTTGGATTTCCCTACAACGTCTTACTCTCCTCTTTTGATAGTGTTCTTTATCTACATGTTGTAAATAGTCGTCAGGAATGTAGAATAACAAGGCGCGTGAGTATTCTTCTCTCGGGGTGAGATAGGGTAGCTGTCTTATTTTCTTCGATTCATGATACTAGTTAATTAAATTAATATGTATGTTGGTCATGTGAACATGCTCATGTCGGAACCGCATCTTTGTCGTCAGATCTCACATCGCCAGCTTGCCTCGACTGGACGCACAGCCCACACCCTCCCCTAGCTAGCTTTACGTCTCGGAACGCCTTCATAGGTCTTTGCTACATGAACTCACTTAGTTTTCATAGCACCCTTACCGGCCTTTGCGTCCTTGACTTTCTGCTTCTCCTTTTCGGTTTGCGGCAGCTCCATGCTCTTGGTGCCGAACTTGGGAAGAAACTTGCCGACACGTTCTTGGTAGACCTTGTATTCAGGGTACTTGCCCGCGCTGAGCAGCTCGGTGAGCCAAGTGCTGGCCTGGAACAGGATCAGGTATCCGAATGCACCTGCGAATGCCCAGTTGGCGTAGGTCTCAGTCTCCAAGCAGCACCATTGGTACAAGCATACCCAGAAGGCTTGTTCAGCGGCGAAGTTGGGGTGGCGCGACCAGGCAAAAAGACCGGTTGTGTTGAATCCGCGGTCTAATTGTTCACGTGTGTATTTAAGGTCAGATGGTACCTTGGCGGTCTTCTGGTATGCACCCTTGGCTTTGTGGTAGTTCCATTGCGCTTGATCGGAGAAGAACTCAAGAACAACGATAGCGACCATGGAACGGCCGAACAAAGAATCGTAGGATGTGATGGCGTTGCCCTTGAGACGATTGGCGAGAAGGAGGATGTACGTAGGCGTGGTGATGAGCCAGAGCAGAATCTATCACAGTTAGTATGTTTGCACTCAATGCACGTGGTACGAGAGTACTGACATTCTGCCCAAGCGAGATGAAGGTGACATTGAAGATGAACATGCCAGGTCCACCAACGTAGTCCTTGACGATGTTCCATCTGTAGTCTTCGCTGCCAACTTGGTATCCGCCCTTGCGCCAGTAGTTGAAGGTCAAGCGAGCACCCCAGATGATGGAGACAGCCATGACATGATCCAGCTTCATTGTCGGCAGTCCGTTGAGATGGGCCCAAACTGCGTAATGGACATTGTAGATGGCGGGCAGCAGACTCCACAGCCGGTCGACTTGCGAGTAGTTGCGGTTGATCTCCGAGACGGCAAGCACGATAGGGGTGACGAACATGGTGGCAAAAGCCAGCGCTGTCATGAGCGGGTTGGTGTTGACATAGAGGGCCTTGAGTGCCTGTGGGTCGGTTATGTGTGCTGCGACCTTGTGCGGGAGGTCGTAGTATTGGGGAAGGAACGGCTCTACCGTCTTGAAGTAGTCGGCGCACTCGGGCAGCGTCTTGACAAGGGGCAGCGCCATATCCATGTATGTCCGTGGGTCGGGCATCGTCTCGATGAGGTTTGTTGATGGTGAAGATGTTGCGATGCTCCCTCACTCACAAGCTGGAGTTAGCGTTTGTTGTTTGCGGCGAACAATGACCTCATGAATTTCCCTGGCTTCCACGTTAGCGGGCTGCAGGGACGCCCGTGCGGCTCTCCACACCACGCGCTAATCTGGTTCGACGCGTTTTCACATGACCATGACCATCGCCATCCTTCCAAGATCAGTCTCAGCCCCTTTTATGGTTCCAACGACATTTCGGAGGCATGACTCGGGTGTTGTGCGTAGCGGAAAAGCCATCGATTGCAAAGGCAGTCGCAAACCATCTGGGTGGCCAAGCCCGAGCAGTAGGTGCCAGCATTGTCTCATACAATACCATCCTGTACCCATACAGTTTACACTTGTGCTTCATTAGCACGCTGATGGCTAAATGCACTGCAAAGGTCTTCGTGCTATCTGGTAGTGCTAGACATCAAAGACGCGACCACCTTCTGGTTTTGGACTGCCGATCGAACGCAAGACTGACTCCAGATAGGAAAGTGTCCGAGGTATTCAGTGGGTCAAGAACTACAAGTTCGACTTTCGCTTTCAATCCTGGGGGCAATGTTCTGTAACCTTCACATGCGTTGCAGGGCATATCGTCGCACAAGACTTCAATGATCGGTTCAAGAAATGGCACTCATGTCAGCCCTCAGCACTGTTCGAGGCTCCCATAGTGTCGAGCATTGCAGAGGTGAGTAATATAGATCTGATTACGTGAAGCTGGCTGATGCGTTCACAGGACAAAAAGGCTGTAGCGAGCAACATTGAAGCGCAAGCCAAGTATGCGTCCATTCTGTTCATCTGGACCGATTGTGATCGCGAAGGCGAGCATATCGGAACCGAGATTCGGGATATCGCATTGAGAGCGAATCCCAATATGCAGGTTTGGAGAGCGCGCTTCAGCAACATCGAGAGAGCGTCTGTATCACTGCACCATGGAAAAGTCATGTACACTAACCTTCCCCAGACATGTCATACATGCCTCTCAGAATCCTATTCGCCTAGATGAAGCGCAGGCGCAAGCTGTCTCAGCGCGAATCGAGCTAGACCTGCGTCTCGGTGCAGCTTTTACACGCATGCAGACACTGGCGCTACAAAACATGATCCCTCAACAGGGTGACGAGCGAGGCAAGTTGATCAGCTACGGATCTTGTCAGTTCCCTACGTTAGGTTTCGTCGTCGACCGATATCTGCGTGTACGCAACTTCGTTCCAGAGCCATTTTGGTACATCAAACTTGCGCACACAAAGGACGGAATCGATGCCAAGTTCAACTGGCGGCGAGGCCATCTTTTCGATCGCATGGCAGTAACCCTTATCTTCGAGCGATGTCTGCTTTCAAAGACGGCGAAAGTCATCAAGATGGCAAAAAAGCCCACCAGAAAATGGAAACCGTTACCTCTGACGACAGTGGAGCTACAGAAGATGGGAAGTAGGTTCCTTCGTATGACCTCTCAAGACGTCATGAAAGTGGCCGAAGACTTGTATACGAAAGGCTGGATCAGCTATCCACGCACCGAAACTGACCAGTTTGACGCTGGTATGGACCTGCGAGCGCTTGTCGGAAGGCAGACGCAAGATGGGCGCTGGGGTCCATTCGCACAGAGTCTCATGAACGGTGCTTTTCACCAACCTCGCCAGGGCCGCAACAATGACAAAGCACATCCGCCCATCCATCCTGTCAATTATGTCGCCTCATCCCAGCTCAACGACAGAGAGCGCACCGTCTACGAATTTGTTGTTCGCCGCTTCCTCGCATGCTGCTCCGAAGATGCTATTGGTGAATCCACAGATATCGAGATTGAATATGGAAGCGAGGTCTTTCACGCACATGGTCTTACCGTCATTGCAAGGAACTACCTTGACGTCTATCCATACGACAAGTGGGAGAGCAGTCAAGTGCTGCCGCAGTACACAATAGGCGAGACTTTGGAGCTCACGGAAGCAAACATGCTGGACGGACAGACGACGGCACCCAGCTATCTCACTGAGCCCGAGCTCATCGCTCTCATGGACGCAAATGGCATCGGCACAGATGCAACTATGGCCGAGCATATTGCCAAGATCAAGGAACGCGAATACGTCATGGCAAGACTTAAAGCGGGTGGCGGTGCGGCGGGCGCCAATGGGGCAGGTGCAGGCAGAGGGCGCGGAAGAGGAAGAGGGGGTGCAAGAGGGGGACGTGGTGGGCGAGGCGGCGCAGCAGTAAGTCAGAACAGCGGAGGAGGCACGGGTGGAGTACAAGAGTTTATCCCGACGACTTTGGGTATCGCGCTTATTGAAGGATACGACAACGTGGGGTTTGAGACGAGCCTCAGCAAGCCGTTCCTCCGGAAAGAAGTAAGTGGTGCTCGTGGGGTTTGTTGGGCATTGATGACCCGACATGATCACTAACACTGTGGGCAGATGGAAGTTCAGATGAAGGCCATTTGCGAAGGCCGCACTACGCGCAACGAAGTGGTGCAGCAGAACCTAGAACAGTACCGGGCCGTTTTCACTCGCACGGTGCAGCAGATCAACGTGCTCAAGTCGGTATGTTGTATTTTGGGTCGAACTTTTGTGTGTGTGTAGTCGCATCGCTAATGCTATGTCGACCCACCAGGCGATCACGAAGTATGTGGTTAACGCAAATCACGGTTGAGGCATTTCCCACGCCGGCGCACTGGGTGGTGCAGCCCACGTCATCCGTCTGACGGTCAAGACGTCCGGCATATCGGCACCAGGCATTCTATAAGGTTTGGCGATGTGTTGCGACGGGATGTCTTGCAGTGTGCGGCCTGTCGGAGAAACACGTGTGGCAGAGGGTGGTTGCGCTGCTAGCGAAATCGGACCTTATGGTGGTGGGATGGACCCCGCAGCGCGATAATGATGGCGCCAATGGCTGTTGGGGGTGCGAGGCATGGAGAGACGGATGGCCAACATGAGGAGCCGATAGACAAGATGCTGATATGGGGCATCGGCTGCAAACGGAAGGCACCATGGCGATGGCGGCGTGCGGGCTCGAGCAAGCAGCATGGCACTGTCGAGGTCGCAGCAGGCACCTCTGGCAGTGCAGGCAGCCTCACGATAGGGAATCGGGGCGGTGGGCGTGGTGCAACTCTAATGTTGCCCTGCTTCTAAGCTTCGAGTCCCTGCTGCAGCGAGAGGCGAAATTCCATGACGCTTGTGGGAGGTGTGGCTGTCCGTGCGCCAATGGCAGGGGCACGAGTCGGAGCTGGGGGTTGTCAGATGCGCGTGCATGTGCCTTGCCTTGGTTCCAGCTGCCTTCGGAACCAAGGAGGCCTTATCATAGAGGGCCTGCCTCGTTGATTCATAGACTCACAACATAGCCCACAATCCAATATTGAGCCTCTTCTGACCTCCGCACTGCACCTTGCCTGCTCCTGTTCGCCTCAACCACATCTCGCCTCTGCTGCCCCGACACGCTACCTGCATCCTCCCGTTACCGACTCGCTGATCACATCGCCGATCGCCAGACGTCTCGGAACGGTGAAGGCACAAGCTACGTTGCTGCAGCTTGCTATAACAACCCAACGCCAGCGCATATTTGCCCCATAACTGCACTTCGCTTGTCGCACAAGGCAGTTCGGTCGCTGTCTTTAATTTTGCACCCAAGTTCCTGCTGCACACCACACGCCCTACCGTCGATACCCGACAGTTCAACCCCAAGACACTCAGGTACGTTTGCCGCCAGACCAAGTCGCCTCACGCTGCAACTTCGTCTTGGATAAACCACAGCATTAAAAGTCCGCCGTCACTGACGAAACCACCCTCCAGGCCTCCTATCCACCCACTGCGACTGCCCTGTCAACTCGCGCTTTGACTCATTCGTCAGCCCCTGCCTCATACCAGTAAACATGGCTGCTTCCGCCCAGAAGCCCATGTCCAACATCGCCATGGCCTTTGGGCGCCAGGACAGTGGCCACGCTGCTTCGACTGGCACTCTCCCTACTCCGCCCAGTTCCATCTCTCCGACCCTTCCTGCGCACAAGCGACGCCCCGTGCCCGTAGCCGGCCGTCTTCACACACCAGAAGAGGAGTCTATGGATATAGACCTCCAGGATGCGGTAGAACACGCGGCAGCGCAGGACCAGCCCTCTGCTCTCTCCAAGGAGGCGCTGGCTGGGTTGGATGCGACGCGCCAGATTACGGCCCTCATGCTGGCCAAGCACCATCTGCCAGACATTATCGAGGGCCACGGCGCAATGCCCATCCGCGAGATGATGGCGCATCTGACGCATGCGGTACCTGGCTTCTCTGGACTACCCCCTGCGAAGGCCCGTAGGCTGGTCGTTGCAGCGCTGGAACATCGCGCTGGTGGCGGCCTGCACGGCGAGGTCAAGTTCGAGAAAGTCGGCTGGGGGCGTTGGAGTGTAGCTGGCTCCGGCTCCCAGGCTGCGGGCATGCCCATTGGCGGTAAGCGCCCTGGAAATGGGCGTACACCACCAGATAGTGTTGATAGCATCGGAGGCAGCCTCCAGATTCCAAAGTTGCGACAAGAACGCGACGTCTACTCTGGCAGCTGGAACGCTGGCTCGTGGTCGCCGCACCGCCAGGGCGAAGACGAAGAGATGGCTGATCAGATGTCGCTAGACGACTCCGAAGGCAGTACCGAGTCCGACTCGGCTTCGGACATGGATTTGGAAGAAGAATTAAATGACGACACTGATCAAGAAGACTGGGCGACCATGGGGCCTGAAGCTCTTCGCGAGACCCGCCGCGGTCCGCGCCGAGAACACCGCGATTACAACTATCTAAGCCGAACACAGACGAGCAACCCGCGCTATCGGAGCATATCCGCCCAGGCCCACTCTCTGCCTCAGCCTCATCACGGACGCACTGCGACGCCCACGTACAAACCTTTCCTTACTGTTCCTCATGCATCCCACGGTAATCACGTCGTGAACGCGGGCTCTCCTTTGACTTCTTCCGTTTTCAATGCATCGGCTGGTGTAGCCGGATCTGGCGCTGAGCGCGACGCTATCGAGGCACTCATTGCCATGGGCTCCATGTAGACCCTCTTACCCCACAGCATCGCGCTGCTGAACAGGGCTGCCGACTGGCACAAAGCCCTACGAAACACGACTAATACATACAACATTCAACATTAGATTATGGCAGCGCCTTTGGTTATGCGCAGCTGGGCTGGGAATTGTTTTGGGTCTGATTGGATTACGTTGGCATACCCTCAGGTTCTCGATCTGCATGGTTCTGGTATGCAATTGGGACGATCCGTCAAGTGCTGATGTGGATCACATGGACTTTTTGATGTTTTCGCGCCTTTACTTCACCGCTCTATTTATTTTTCCCAAGAGATGATTGGACTATACCGACATCTACCTTTTATCGATATACTCCACACTATTCGCCACATGGGGACATGGCATGCGCACTATCATTTGCTTATAGGTCTGGCGCTTGTCTGGCGTTGAGGCGTTTGGGCAGTGATTAGGCGATGAGCGTAGATATCACGCAGCTTGTACATATTCTTCCGTAAAGACAGACACCCTACTCCGCTCGTCGACTGGCTGAGATGCTAGTGAGCTTCCTGCTGTCGGTTACATGCTCCGGCCGCAAAGGCTGAGCGCAATACAATCCATGCTCAACACTTTGTGTCCTGTAAGGTCAACGTGTTGAGCATATTCGTCAGTAACCGTATCATTGCATGAACCGGTTCACCCTATGATGTTTTATTAAGAGTTGTTTGGAAGTGTGTTCAACTGGCGGATCAGCAGACAAATCCCTTTAACTACAGGTAAGAGTCTTGTGACGACTGGACCATATGAGAACAAAGACAGTTCCAGCATCGGTCACATGCAATCCCCACTTGAAACAGTCGAATTTGGGCGGCATCGTCCACAATGGATTATCGTTGTTGTCGACTAGATGTCGCTCTTGAGTACAACAACACCCGGAAAACAAGTGCAAAGGAATATGTATGAGGGTCACCGCTATATTTCTCAATACAACCTGCTAGACATAGACCGTCTTACGCGATCCAAATTAGCGCTCACTGTCAAACACTACTTTACTTCTCCCTTGTGTACCTTGATCAACTGCACTCTCAACCTTCTTGACCACTTCCTTGTCGAAGAAAGCAACACCCAACTCTTGACTCGTGAACCAACTCGCCCGATCAAAGTTCCCAGAGCCCAGAACAAGCACCTCGTCGTCCACTATGGTCATCTTGAGATGCGACTGTTGAGGCTCCCCCACCTCATTACCCCTCTTTTTAGGCCCACCGATCGGCTCGAAGTACGCTACATGTAGGTGACCAGGCTTGGGAGTCGCTATAGCCATCTCTTCGTCGTTTGGGTTACCACCGTTGTGACTCAGCTGCTGATAGCGTTTGATGAGCTTCTTGATGCAACGTGAGGTTGTAGTACCTGCTGTAACTAATTGCTCGAGTATCATGAGACGTTCAGAGGTCAAGATCCGGACGTCAATACCACGGGCAAGCGCTCGAAGTATTGCGGATAGGACGGGTGGTGCAGTCACGTTTGGTGTCTGTATACGAATGCTTCTTTCGGCCTTTGCGAAAATCGTGAGTATGAAAACATTCAAGGGAGTCGGCGGGGCTTGAAGGGCATCCTGAGCTCCGGTGAAGCTAAAGCGTGGATTACGATGGTGCGGGCTTGGAAGGAAAATGGTGTGTATATCCCGAGCCGACAATAATTGCGAAGATGTCAATGCATCGTGGAGCTTGACTGCGACACCTTCAGGAGCATCGAGAGTGGTTGGAGCATCCTCTCGCCGCTCCCAAAAAGTGCGATAAAACTTGAGAAACTGTTCGACAACAGGTCCTGTGAGGGTGACAGCACCCTCGAACCATTCTTCCCAACTGATATTGCAACTCGGTAACACTGCGGTTTTCCGGTCGATGAGGATGAATTTTGGATGCATGACTGAGAATGGTAAAATGAAGATAGACTTGATGGTAAGGTCCAGTCCGTTCAATTCAGATGGGTCAGGTAAGCCCAGCTTCTTGATCCATGCTGACGGTGAATACGTCTGGCCTGTAGTAGCTTGCTTGTGGAATAATTTCTGGAAGACGGAGCTGGAAGAAAAGCATAGTCGAACCCTGATCTTGTCTGTCCCTCTCCGGATGGCCTTTTCAGACAGGTTTCTCAGAACCTGATTGAGTGTGTCGAGGGTCTTGGACCTGGCCCAGAAGCAGGTGACGAGAATGAGCTCATGGGAGGCAGACTCAAGCAGGGGTACTAAAGATTTGTAGATGGTGGAACCGGTGCCTGTCATGAAGGCGTCTAGATGAGAGGTCGTGATCAGTGAGCGCGGATAACGAGCATAGTAGTTCGGATCATCATTGGCGTTGTTAGGCGCAGCGACATCGAGGGCCGAGATAAAGGGCTCGTTGAAGCTGGACACAGCAGGGGACGATGATACAGGCGCCATGGAGCTTCACTCTGTTACTCTCTGCAAAGATGTCGGTGCTATTGATGGGATGACGTCGGACGCGACCGCCATGAGTAGACGCGTCGAGACTAGCCCGCATCCAGAAAGCTCTGCAGGGATGGCCGGGCAGCTCCCATCCCCGCCAAAATTTCCGAAGCTCTGAGCGGTAGCCAACGACACGACCAGTACGCCCACGATATCACACCGGTAGAAGCGCGAACAGGCTAAACCCACCAGACTCTTGCGATTCGACCAACTGTACACGGCGCATCCTCGGCCATGCCAATCTCTATCCTCCCACCTAGCGCACCGCTCCCACCACGGCGCGATGCAAGAGACGACTCGGACGACTCGGACGTGGACATGGAGGACGACGACCTCGTGACTTCCGACTCAAAGGCGATAGTGACACCCGGTGAAGCCATAACCTCGGACCCGCAATGGATGCGCGGCCACGGCACCTACGTTCCATCCATGCCTCCGTCTTCCACGACGATAATATCCACCGTCGCCGGTATCCTGCACAAAACAAACAAGCTGCTCTCGGTACAACCGCTGCGCGCCCGATATCAACCAGAAATTGGCGACCTGGTCGTAGGACGCATAGTGACAGTGGGAACAAAGAAGTGGAATGTGGACATCGCAGCACCAATGCACGCAAACCTGCCTTTGTCTAGTATAAATCTGCCCGGTGGAGTGTTGCGACGAAGAACAACCGTAGATGAACTGAATATCCGGACCTTCTTCCAAGAAGGCGATCTGCTCGTCGCCGAGGTACAGAGTCTGCACCAGGACGGCACCGCCTCCCTCCACACGCGATCGCTCAAATACGGGAAACTGCGCAACGGTCTGTTCACCAGTCTGAGTGGCGCTGGAGGTGGCATATTGAGTCGCAAGGGTGGCGTTGTGAGGAGCAGACGGCAGGTCTTTACGCTGAACACGGCGGCCGGCGAGATCGACATTGTACTTGGCGTAAACGGTTACATTTTCATCAGCAAGCACATCACAACAAATGCTGACCCAAAGGAGATGGGCATCAACCGACTGGACGAGAGTGTGACTGAGACACTGTATTCGAGCCAAAACGACGACATCGAACCGCCAGTCATGCGGGAGATAACTAGGGTCAGTACCTTGATCAGGGGGTTGGTAGCATGTGGCGCCAAAGTGGATGAGGATACAATTGTCAAGGTTTACGAGGGCGCAGTCGAGCTTGAAGCTGAGGAGCAGAGCCTTGGTGGTGTGGAGAGGGGAATTGGTGCCAATGGCGTTGTAGAAGCTGTGCTCGGACGATTGGAGGTTGAGGCCGCCGGCTGAAGATGAGGGCGAGGGCGAGGCATCCATATATCGAGCAGTAAAGGTTGAAACAGCATGTCATGCTGCTTTCTCAAGCAGCGAGACCATACGACTCCGCATCTCGCATCCGACGGGTCGCCAGCGGGTGGCAGCTCAGACCATCGCGCTGCAACAAGTAGCTAGCAGCTACTCACATAGCGAAGTGCACACCAGTCACGCACGGCAACCAGCAATTCAAAGGTAGTCATTCATGCATTTATCATCGCGCCACAAGTGCGTGACGTGTCATAATCGTATATGTAAAACAATGGCCCCATATACTGGAAGCGAAAGAAGAAATCCTTAAACAAACAAATACCGAGAGTCTGTAAAATCGCCTCGTTAACCTTCCATAACCAGCACGCCCTCCCTTTCCAATCTTCTCAAGCTATCGATATCACCACCAGCTTCTATTACAGCCTTCACCGCCGCGCGGCTAAGCTTCCGTCGCTTGTCGGCGGCTTCTTTCTCCCGCCGTGCTTTAGTTTTGCTGGATCCGCTGGGTGCCACGCCTGTGAGAATCTTACGGCTGTCATCTGGCGTGAAGTTCACGAAACCAACTCCACCATTACTTGTGCTCATCTGCCTCGAGGATTGCTGGGAAGTGTTGCTGGATTTGCGTCTCATTGACGACTGGCTGGTGCGGTGGCTAGATGCGTGCGACGACCGGTGAAAGCGTGTTTCGGCGCGTGGCGAAGGAGAGCGCGAGACTGACTGACTGATAGGGGCGACGTGGTGTTGCGCGTGATGATGTTGCTGTTGGTGAGACGGCGTATTGTACATGACACCATAGTTAACCATGTCAAATGCAGCCGAGGTTCTGGAGGCAGAAAAACCATCGTGCATAGTGCCAAAGCCGTACGGAGCCGATCCGCAAGATATTCCCAATCCTTCCGATCTCATGTTCTGGCTTGTGGATAGTGAGTTGCTTTGGCTGAAGCTGGTCGAATGGAGAGGGTGACTGGCGGAAACGTTCCCATCCCACCAGCCTGTAGTTTGTGTGCCGTCGGTAGAATCACACGAGGCTGAGAAGCCAACATCCAGAGCTGATGATGTGTTAGGGCCCCACGTTGTCATAGATAATTGGAGAGAAGAGGGCGGGGTCTGCAAGGCTGAGAGAGCCGCACTTGGCGCACTGGAAGAGCTAGAGGTGAGCCCCGTATCATTATCGAAGCCGCTACCACTGATGCTAGGGGTTCCAATTGCTGGCGATGCGCAAGGCGTCAATTGGTAATTAAGGAAGCCAGATCCGTTGTTTGGTAGGTTAGAATAGTTATCGGCATAGGTCTGATAATGCCCTTGAACGAAAAACTCATTGCTTTTGGCCTTGGTTGATAGCGGGGGCGAAGCAATGCCATGCGATGAGGCTCTTGTGAATGAATTCGTTGGACTGTCCGTCTTGCGGGTCCACGTATTGCCAGCTGAAGGTTGGTGTTGAGAGGATTGCATCATCTTTGTGAAAGTCGAAGCATGCAACCTTTTAGAGGTCTTTGAGATACCACGGTGCCTCAGTTGATTGTAGATCGATACAGCCTTTTTAACAGATCGTCCGGAAGTGTGGGGTCGAGTTGTAGGAGGCTGAGAGATGGACCTCGATTGCTTCCTTTCTAGTTCAAAGAAGTCGTCAAGGTTTAGCAACTCAGAATCGCTGAAAGACTCATTACCAGTAGACGAAGTAACGTAAGAAGATGAGATAGAGTCCTCAGCTCGCAACGGGGTTGGGTTTTGTTCGTACTTTTCGAGAGCCTTGTGCCAAGCAGCCTGCGTTTCCCGATCAAGTATAGGCTCAGAGCCAAAAAGCTGGCTCTCATTCGACAGAACTGAGTCAAAAAGATGCTTTGGTTCACCCGAGCTTGATTGTTTGGGGTTGCAGTCGCCGAAGTGATTGAGCAAGTCTGTTTGAACATACTCTTCGAAGAGACGGTCTAGATCGACCACGTCAACCTCTTTATCGCTGGTGGGCCGCATTGGCATAATTCCGGTAGGGTGTTGGTGGATAACGATACTCTGAAGTAAACCTCTCACGTGCCTGCGTGTTGTGTTCAGGAAGTGGCTAGGTAGGTAAGCGAGGATCGTCGCAGTTGGTAGTAGAACAGGCGATGAGAGTAACACGGTACTTGTACCTTACTGGTAAATGTGCTTTAGTGGTTGCAAGCCCACGGGAGCAATTTCTGTAACGTGCCAATGATGCCTCATAACAAACGTGGTGAACAAACCAGACTAGAGACATTCAATTCTGCACCCAAATATGGCAAAGCACCTTGCCCGCCATCTCCTACTCGGTGTACATTCCAGCTATACTTAGCGTACTAAGTCGAATCGGGCTGACCCAGGGTTGGAATGGGGCATGACCAAGCCCCAACCCTTTCGTTTCAAGTACTTTTGAGGCGTCGGCACCATTTAGGTCCCGAACATTACGAACTTGCGACCGGGGCATTTGGATATTTAGTGACGACAGGAGGTGCGTGCTCATGCAGCCATATACCGGACGTTGGGGTATTTTCTTTGGAGGCGTCGTCCATACCGCAGGTACCCGTTACACGACAATCGATTTGTAGATGAGATTCTTTGTTAGTCCATCTCTTTGTGTATGCCGAAGCTTGACCTGACCGGTGAGGTAAAGAGGCCGCACGAACGGTGGTTTCAGAACCAACGTTTGAAGTGCCTGTGCAGCTGCATGAGTTGTAAAGGTAAGGCTGTTGATCGAGTCCCGTGAGTTACGACATCTTCATACCAATGAGACAGTCCCAACACCTCAACTACCGAGGGTCTGGAACTCGGAATTCACGCATGTTGCAAATAGTTCTTAGTTAGCAATGCCCATCCACGCTGAGAGTCTGTAAGACGCAGACTGACACTTAGGTGATGTGAATGAGAATCGGAAGTGACAGAGAACGGTAGTGGAGTCACAGGACGTGACTAGTTAAGAGTACAGGAGCGTAGACGAAGGATACCTGGGTAACTGGGTTAGGTATTTTCGTGCAAGGCGTGAGTCAAGGACAGTTTGATGCGCGTTGCACATACTAGGAGCGAAAGAGAACCAAACATGGGCATCGACCTTGACGGCGAGGTTTCAAATTTGCTAGGGCCCGGGGGTGAGTTGATCGTCCATCATGAAGGGTGCACAACAGCAGAAACCAAAGCGCCGTGACGCTGTTGGGCCTCGCTTTTGTCCTCACTAGGTCGTGACGGCATTGTCTTCTGTCTCATGTAGTTCGATTAGCCCTATGGCATGTGACCGATGGATATCTCATGTCACTTTCAGGAAGTTACCGAGGAGCTATGAGAGGCAGCAAAAACATCTGGTGGCGATGATGATGGTGGTGGTGATGGTATGAGGACGCGTTCACGATACCCAGCAGTTGCCCAGGTGTGGTGTTGAGGCTTGTGCACGGCTAGTTTAGCGTGTCGTCGAGACTGTTGTGGATCTGCCGTTCGCAGGTCTCAGGGCATGACGACTGCACCAACGCGACGACGATAGCATCTACGGCTTGAGCGTCACCATCTTAACACGATATTTCTGTCAATAGTTCACTTGCCATCGAACAATGGATCCCGACGCGCCTGTGGCCAATGAGCCTCAACCTTCCGTCTTCCGCTGGATCATAGGCTTCCTTATGGTTGGCGCGTGCTGGGGACTCACGACGCCGTTCATGCGAAAAGCTGCTATGTAAGCTTGGGTGTTTATTACTTTCTGCTAGTCCTTCCTTCTCTCGCAAGCCTAGTACATTGCCTGACCAGCAAGCTGATACGCATATACCAGGAACTACACTCCGCCGCAGCGTCCTGCCCTTACTGACCCGAACAACTCATGGCTTAAGAAAAAGGTCCTCGGAGTACTATATGCAGTTATAGGTGTCCTGAGCCGACCAGCGTATGCGGTGCCGCTCTTATTGAACGTCACTGGCAGTGTATGGTTCTTTATATTGATTGGTAAGGCGGAGTTGAGCCTCACGGTGCCAATCACGAACTCGCTCGCCTTTCTGTTCACCGTACTAGGGGAGTGGTGGGCAGAGAAGAAGGTCATTAGCAGAGGTACGTTGTCTCTCTGCTCTGCCACGGGACGAAAACTAACAATGCAAAGACACATGGATTGGCATGGCCTTTGTACTTGGTGGTATCGCGTTGTGCGTCCAGAGCAAATCGTGAAATGTCTATCAATATTGCTACAGACCAGCTACCAGTCCTTCGCAAGTCTGTTTTCTGCGTCCGTCGCGGCCTTTTCCTGAAATAGCCTTGAGAATCCTTGCTCAGGCGGTTGCAGCCAATTCCTCTCGTCATACCTCTCCTCGCCCTCAATCACATGGAACGTGTAAATATTCCGGCTTTTGTTGCTGGTGTTCTTCTCGCTCTTGTGCAGGATGTTGCCATGGATAAGGACAAGAGTGCCAGCCTTGACCTCACCCATGTCGTACCTCTCCTCCTTCTCGACCATCTCGTACTCCTTCTCAGCGTTTGTCTGGTGCTTTATACTCTTTGGAAACTTGGCACCCTCATTGTCAATGAAGCCAGTACCATTGCCCGTCCTGACGAATCTCTTGTCAATAGCAGCACGTTTATGACTCCCAGCAGCGAAGCTTAGGCACCCGTTCTCCTGTGTCGCATCCTCGAGTGCATACCACCAGCCAACTGCGCTCGGCGGGTCCGTATACAAAAAGGTACTATCTTGGTGTGGCGGCACTGCACCGCCTATCTCAGGCTGCTTGCAGATAACCATAGATTGCAAAACACGGGGATCGCGGAACCCGAGCGAGGACGCAATGGCGGCATTGCGGGCGGAAAGGGACATGCTGCGGAACGAAGGCGAGAGCTCGTGGAGGTAGTGGCCGATCTTGTTAATGGCGCGGTGTTTAGGTTTGGTCAGTGAGCCAGACTTGTCGAAGGCATCTGTTCGCGTGTCAGCACACTTGCCATGGCTGCGGATTGCCTTACATACCCTCTTCGAAGAAGAACCGTACCTTGTCACCGGACTCCAGGAAGTAGCTGTCTCCAACGTGGTCCGCGCCGTCGTCGCCGCCAGTCGAGAACTTGGTCATGGGATGGTCATCGAGTGAAAAGTCGTTTAGCATATTGTTTGTGTCTTCCAGCAACTGCTTGACCGTGTCTTGCGACAGCGCATCAGGTATCAGTAGATAACCATTCTCGTTGAAAAAGGTTAGTTGTTCGGGCGTGAGCCCTTCTGCGGTGCGCACAGTCATGTTCGGGTGAAGTTGGGAGGGTCAGTACGCGATGGCTTGTAAAGCTCCCAAATGTCGATTGCGCAAGAATGACTGTTATTCTGCCGTCGTGTTCAGGCCGTCAGGAAGCTTCGGAGGTGGCCGTGAACTAGCAAGCCGCCGCCGCCGTGTGCTGCTGCTGCGCTGCGCTGCCCCGCGGCTGTCCCGCGTTGTCGGATCTAATTCCATTCCGAGCAACCTCGGAATCCCAGGACGCGTCGTCCTCACCCACGCCCCTACACCATCGACACCAACCACCATACATGGTAATCCGAGAACCCGGCCATAGGTCCTCCGACCTGCAGTGGCATGAAACGATAGCTCGGCATGCTGACTCACTTGGCGCAGTGAAGAGGCACGGCTGTTGCATGACATCAACGTTATGCGACTTCTACCCTACGCTGCAGGCTCTGAACGTGGCCATACACTATCAATCTTTCGAGGGATAAGAGACGAGTTTGCCAGAGTGCAAGAGAATGAGGTGTCCGGTTGTGCAACTTCTGAAAGGCTCCCCCAGGCCGCGAATTGGTACGCAATGACCTTCATCGTCTCCGCGCAACTATGACCCTTGCATATGCGGCTCTTGCAACCCTGCGCATCTGTACTTTCCGCGAGAGGGGAGACGAAGAGTCTGACATGCTGATGGCTGAAACGACACGTGGTGGCTCAGCGGGTTCCTGGCTGCGCGCAACCTGCCCTTTCACCCAGCCATGCACAACATAAGGCTGACGGGCGCTTAGACACGCCTTCAAGCTGAAGAAGAAAAAACACTCTACGCTCATCTTTGACTGCCAAATACCTGATGGTTCGAAACAATAGTGCTCTGGCCATATCGGTAGTTGTATCTCTGAGAACCCACTGTCTTTGGCAGTCTGAGCGGACAGAACAATGAAGATGCGATGAGCACGCGTTGGTCAAAACTTATGGCATAGGCTGTCTGTTCCGCATATTCGCTAGTACTGCGCCACTCCCTCACATGCGCGCTTACACATTACCATGGTTCTCTACATCTAGCCAAATTGGCCTGGGGTCAAACGACTCGCGGTATGCAGCAACCGATACGTCGCCCTCGTGATAGATGCAAGAATAAAGAGTATGTCTGATGACGCTGTTTAGCTGGCGTGTTTGATCCGCCCTTGCCATCGCTATAAACACAACAAAGAACCTTGACTCACGAGTTGCACACCCGACTCCAATATTTTACGACGAAACTATTACGAAACTATTAAAGGATTCTTCACTTTGGTGACCGAATTCTCCAACCAGTCGTCGGATTGATGAAGGTGTACGAACCGGGATTCTACCAACCAGTTCCAATCACGTTTACATCCTTGACTCAAAGCTAGAGGACGACGACCTCCTATCAAGTCACCTATTCTCGAGGCCACCTCGTTAAAAGCCGCGGTAGCTCCCATAACTCAACCATCGATATATGGGAATGCAAGCAGGTGCAAGTATTCAAAGTATTTTAACAACCGAGGAATAAGGGTAGCTCGTATGTGATCGATCTATGCAATCGCAAGACTCGAAGTTTCGACTGTAAGATCCTTCTCGATTTTGACCACGATCAGTCGCTATCCAATAACAATTGTGTGCTTACAAGCGGCTAAAAAAAACTCTACCCTTCGAGGGTGGGGTTAAAAACACATTGCGAGCACCGTCCAACGCAGGAACCCAATCCGATGTATGCCTGAGCCGGAGCGTCTTATACACGCCAAGATACCAACTCGACATATACAATGATGATGTGGATAGTCGTGGTTTGGGATATGCTAAAGGCTCAGGCTATGCACATGCTCGGACTTGCGTTTCCAGATCCCAGCACGGTACTATGTAACGCCTCTTTGTTATGAGCATTCTGTGAGCTTTGAATTCGCAATGAGAACTTGATAAGCTACAATGCATACCAGGTCACGTTCGAAACATCACTCAGGAGTGCTTACAGCGACTGGACAAATCACGTGGACGGTCCGGGGCACTCTCAAGTCATATGTAAGCTGACAAAATGCGGCAGTCCGGAGCTTCACCGGCCGAGCCAGGCGTACCGCAGCCAAGATGTCTGATACGAGACGCCCGGCATCGAACATACGAAGGGTTTAGGGCGAGGTCGTGCTGGCGTATGCGAGCCGGCTGAGTGGGCGGGCGATATGCAAACTAAGAAGCTCGAGTGACTAGACACCGTGTCACTCTGCATAGTTCGGTGTGCACTCTATGCGCGCGGTGATATGATTGTGGAACACGGGCGATGTTTTCTACTAGACAACGCAGGATTTCGATGACCGAGCGACCTATCATCGCAATTGGTGGCGCTAGCGAGTGCGCCAAGTCGTAAAGTCCTACCTCGAATATCCCACGCCGACCACGGCGGGCGCCAGACTGCATGACTTCAGGAACAGGGCCCTGTGACTATTGGCTTGTCGTTCCCTTTCAGCTGTCGATTACCCTCAGATGGTTTGCGATTTCTCCTTTCATGTTACGAATATGATTTGACACCGACAGATGGATGGGCAATTTTCATGGCTGACAATGTCTTGTCGCTATTCCTGAACATCTAGACCCAAGTTTTTGAGACATTACTATCCGCACAAGCTTGGGGTCAAGCAAAGGAGTAAGCCTGGATGCGGGTAAGACGCCGTCTACACCAGGCTAGCCATATACGGTAGACTACCGCGTGGGTCTTCTTCTCTAGACTCCCAAGTGTTTAGTCTCCAGAGTGCTAACTATCGAATCCCTACTGTTTGCAACAGTGGCTCTTCTCACGGTGCCGGTGGTTTGGGATATTTGGAGTGGAGAAGGGCCGCCCTCATGCGTGACCTAGTATGCCCCTTACGAAGTTGGACAAACTTGCCACTGAGCAAGAAATGACCTTCCGAATTTACCCCCTACTCCGACTCATGAGGCTTTTGCGCTTGCATTGAGTCTGCATGGCGTGGAGCTGGGAGTCTCTGATCATCAGATCAGTACGTAACATCGTACAATTGCCTCAATCACGACCGATTCCACATGTTGTGTGTAAAAATGCTCAGTAATCGCTCGCCCGCCCTTATAACAACCATCCCAAGTTCCCCAACACGCTGTTGCATATCAATTCCACAACCGATCCTGTTATTCCTGAGTAATAAGGCACTTACGAAACCTCGTAACTTGACTTTGATTGACATACTTATCACTATCCACTATCCAGACCAATAACACCTTCTCAGTATGAACGACTTCGTTGATCCGGAAGGAACTTTCATGCCGGCCTCAAGTCCCAACGGCTTAGTGCCTATTGCAATAGTGGGCTTTGGCTTCAAGTTTCCCCAAGATATCACAAACGCTGAGAGCTTGTGGAAGCTATTGATGGAGCGTCGATCTACCATGACTGAGATTCCTCAGAATCGATGGAACATTGAGGGTTTCTACAAAGAGCATGGCCATCGACCTGGTACCGTAAAGAACCGAGGTGGCCACTTTCTCGCGGATGATCCCGCCCGCTTCGACGCCCCTTTCTTCTCCGTCCAGCCCGCGGAAGCGGAGTGTATGGACCCTCAACAACGCCTCTTGTTGGAGACGAGCTATCATGCTCTCGAGAACGGTGCGTTACTCCCTGCTTGCTGTTATAACTAGGGCTGATCTTTGCTTTTAGCTGGTATTCCTATGAAAGCAGCCATGGGCACCAGGACTTCAGTTCACGTTGGCTGTTTACTCCAAGAGTATAGCCAGATCTCTCAGCGTGATTCTCAGATGCCTGGTGACTACCGTATCGTCGGATCCAGTGGCTTGGCTATGTTGGCTAACCGACTAAGTTGGTTCTATGACTTCAGCGGCCCAAGCATGACGGTTGATACGGCTTGCTCAGGTGGGCTCGTCGCTTTTCACCTAGCATGTCAGGAGCTTTCAGCTGGTAGTGTAGATATGGTATGTCATTTTTCTATCTCCTGCACGATACCTCGAATGACTAACGACTATAGTCACTTGTCTGCGGTAACAACTTGTGCCTACTCCCAGACTCGACAGCACTCTTGAGTAGCCTCAATATGATGTCCAAAGACAGTGTCTGTTATTCATTCGATGAGCGCGCATCGGGCTATGCTCGAGGTGAGGGCTTTGGTGTACTCATCCTCAAACGACTCGATACAGCCATTGCAGATGGAGACACCATTAGGGGTGTCGTGCGATCAACTGGCTGTGGACAAGATGGGAACACTCCCAGCATCACATCGCCCAGCCAATCTGCTCAAGAGCGACTCATTCGTGAGACATATGCGCGGGCAGGCCTTGATCTTGGTGATACTCGCTATTTCGAGGCGCATGGCACCGGTACTCCAGTGGGAGATCCTTGCGAAGCTGCAGCTATTAGCAACGTTTTCTCTTGTCGGACGCCTGAAGACCCGATCTTCGTGGGTGCCCTCAAAAGCAACATGGGTCATCCTGAAGGCGCTAGTGGAATCGCGGGTGTGATTAAGACGCTTCTTGTTCTAGAGAAGGGCATCATTCCACCGAATGTATATCCTGAGCGCATCAGCCCGGCTGTTGCGGCGGCTGGCCCCAACTTGAAGTTTCCGCTCGTACCGGCAACCTGGCCGACGGATGGTATTCGACGCGCGAGTGTGAACTCATTCGGGTATGGAGGCACGAACGCCCACGTTGTTCTGGACGATGCGCTGAGCTTTCTTCGTGATCATGGTTTGTCCGGCCAACATTGCACTGAAGTGCTTGACGGTAGCAAAGGAGCAGCTGAACCAGCCACCTACGATGGCCTAGCGATCAATAGTGAGGACGGCAGCTATAGCACGGGTACTAACGCATATTCGCAATCCTTTGCAGACGATACGCCACCTGATATCATGGACGACTACGAAACCGCCCCAAAGCTGTTCGTACTATCCGCATTTGACGAGCGTGCCGTCCAGCGATCTATCCCCACTTTCGAAAAGTGGTTGTGCAATCATGCGAACGATGAGAATGATCACCGGATTCTTAATGATGTAGCGTACACCTTGGCTGAGAAGCGAACGTCATTTCCATGGAAGACTGCTTGCGTTGCTTTGCCAAATCTGCTCTCGCAACTCTCCTGGTCTACCCCTACGCGAGTCAAACAGCGAGTGAATCTGTGTTTCGTCTTCACCGGTCAAGGTGCACAGTGGGATGGAATGGGGCGCGAACTCATGGGGTACGCACCGTTTCGGGACGCCATGCTTGGAGCAGATCGGTACTTCAAGTCACTTGGCAGTAAATGGTCCCTTATCGACGAATTATACCTCAAGTCGAAAGACGATTCAATCATCCATCAACCGGAGCTTAGTCAGCCTATCTGCACCGCTCTGCAGGTGGCCATCCATGACTTGTTGATCTCCTGGAAAGTTCGCGCTTCAATATCTGTGGGTCACTCTTCGGGTGAGATCGCTGCCGCTTATGCTAGTCGTGCAATCTCACAAGAGTCTGCCTGGATGATTGCTTACTTTCGAGGTCTAGCAGTCGCCATCACTCAGACTATCAATCCTTCTCAGGGCGCCATGATAGCTGTCCAGGCCCCCTTTGAAACTTGGAAACATATCATGAACAAGCAGAATGCAGAATATCCAACCAATCCCGTCGTTATCGCCTGCTACAACAGCCAGAGTAGCTTCACACTTTCAGGTACACATAGCATGATTCACCAAATGGCTATCGCTCTCAAACAAGCAAATGTCGAAGTTCATACTCTCAAGATCGACGTTGCTTATCATTCACATCACATGAAGCCAGTTGCTGATGTTTATGAGAAGCTGCTTCGGACGATCGAGCCTGGTGAACAAGTAGAGGCTCAACCGTCCTTTGTCTCTACCGTCACTGGGAAGAATATTCAGCAACTCAACGAGCTGCATACTTCTGAATATTGGCAACGAAATCTTACTGGATCAGTACAGTTCTCAGCTGCGTTGCAGGATATATGCGCACGACAAGATGCCTCGACTTGTTTCTTTCTCGAGATCGGCCCTCATTCTGTTCTACGTTCACCGCTACGTGATATACTCAAACAAAGCGGAAGAGATGTTGCGATCGACTACAGCTCTGTGTTACGGCGTGACCACGCCGCCAACATTACAGCTCTGGAATGTGCTGGGAAGCTCCACACCATCGGCGCAACTATCGATATAGCTGAAGTTAATAAGGACAGCGACATCAGTCCCAAATTCCTACCCTCACTCCCATGTTATCAATTTGAAGACAAGAAAAGATATTGGCTCGAAGGCCGAACGAGCATTCAGTACCGTCAAACACAATTTGTGCATCATGAGCTTCTTGGCTCGCGCACACCCGACTGGAACGAGCACGAAGCACGTTGGACAAATCGTATTCTTCTAGACCAATCCCCATACCTTCAAGATCATCAGATTAACGGTCTTTGCCTCATGCCTGCTGCGGGAATGCTTTCGATGGCTATCGAAGCCACGCGCCAGTACTATGGTCATCAAACCGCAGCTGTATCAGGCTATAAGCTCAAAGACGTCACATTCACCAAAGCCATGACACTTTCAGCAGACGCTCGTGGCACAGAAATTCAGCTCACATTACGGCCCGCAGTGGTCGAATCACGTGATGTGCAGCCGGGTAGCTTATGGAATCAATTCTCCCTCTTCTTACATGAGGATGGCGGATGGCACCTGTGCTGTACAGGATTCGTTGCGATTGAATACGGCAATCACCATGACAGTTCTGGAGATCTTGCCGAATGCGCGACGGCAACGAAAGAGAAGAAACAGGCATACCTCGCAGCTTCAGAGAAATGTCGCATTGTTATCGACAGTGCTGACATCTACGATGCTTTTAGTCGAGCTGGTCTTACGTACGGTCCAACGTTCAAGGGCATGCGCAACGTCAAATGGGATCAGCACAACCAGGCTACAGGTACGATTGGCCTTCGAGATTGGCAGACGCATGCGAAGTTCAGCTACAGCGATCCGCACCTTATTCATCCAGCTGCGTTGGACGCTATTCTTCAGATGACGTTTCCAGCTTACTCCATCTACGCAAAGGACTCATCAGCTACCACCGTGCCGACGGGCTTTAGTAACGCCTGGTTCTCTGTCAAGCTGATGCGCGATTCATCAGATGCGCAAGATGTGGCCGTGCATGCGAAGGTTTCTGGACGTGGATTCCGCAACAAGCTCTTCTCCGTCACCGCAGCGTTTGCCAATACGCAGGAAATCTGCTTCTACGGTGATCTAGAGACTTCCACCATCGGTCGCAATAGCCCATCGGCGGGCAACAAAGAAGGGCGTCGAAGCTTGTACCGAATAAACTGGCAACCTGCCGAATTCCATCATCTGACGACTCTGTCACCTCGTTTAGCGACGTCCAAGTCTTGCATTCACATCATCTATGATGAGTTAGAGCCATTGCAGTTAGACTTGATGCATACTCTTCGGCGAACAATGTCAGCGCAAGGCGACGTCGGCGTAGCTCTAGTCACATGGAGCTCGATCGCCCAGCATGAGCTTGACAAGGCTTCTTGCATATTTCTTCCTGGTTTAGACGGAAATCTACTTCAGCGCATGCAAAAGGACGAGCTCGCGAAGATCAAAAGTCTGCTCTCGAAAGCTAGTACCCTCCTGTGGATCACTTTCCAACACCAAGCGATTGACCAAAGCCCTACGGAAGGCCTCGTTTCGGGACTGGTACGTACGCTGGCGACCGAGTCTGAAGACTACCGGCTCTCGAGCATTAGCCTTGATCTTGAGACTGGGCTTGACACAGTTGCTGCCAACATTGTTAAGGTTGCCACCACGCTACTAGAACCGCAAATTGACCCAGAAGACGAGTACTGCGAGATCGATGGTCGTCTGTGCACTCCGCGTGTGGTTGACGACGCGGAGCTCACTGTCCAAGCACTGCCTACTGAAGACACTGTCGTTTACGTCACCAAGCCTTGGAGCGAACTTGACAGCCCAAAGCTGACCATTGGTGCCGCAGGTGTCTTGAACACACTGCACTATGAGCAAACTTCTATCAGAATCAATGAGCTTGCGTCAGATGACGTAATCATTCAAGTAAAGGCAGTCGGTCTTAACATGCGGGACATCTTGGTAGCCCTTGGCCAAGTTCACGACGAAACCTTTGGAAGTGAAATTGCTGGAGTTGTGGTAAGCACCGGATCGTCGCATGATGCAGGCTTTCAAATTGGCGATCGCGTCTTCGGCGTGACACGAGATGGCGTCGCGCAACTTGCTCGCTGTAAAGTCTCACAGCTTCAGAGAGTTCCAGATAAGATGAGCTTCTGCGAGGCCGCAGCCTACCCTGTGGCTTTCTGCACTGCCTATTATAGCTTGAAACAGTGCTATAGCATGAAGAGCGGCGACTCGATCTTGGTTCACGATGCCGCTAGTGTGTTGGGTCAAGCGATTATCAAGATTGCCGCTTTTCATGGGTACACAAAGATCTTTGCGACAGTAAGCACGGCTGATGGAGCTTTCTTCCTGGAAAACACTCTACATATTCCGAAGTCGAACATATTCTCGACCGACAGCCTCGATCTTCAACATGGTATCCTCCGCTTGACGAATGGTCAAGGCGTCGCGGTCGTAGTGGGCTCTGAAGATCGTTTAAGTGATTCTTGGCCGTGTATCGCCTCCTTCGGACGCTTTGTTGGAGTTGGAGAGAAGGACATTTTCCACTCGACCGCCAATAGCTCAAAAGACATTGTGCTTCCATCTACCACGAAAAACATTGCTTTTGTCAGCGTCAACTTTCAAGAGTTGGCCAAGAGCCATGTATTTGCTGACATCTTCAAGCATGTGTTGATGCTTATAGGAGACGATAAGGTCACCATTGCTTCACCTCCAAATGTTTTCAAGCAGAGCGAGATCGAGCCCGCTTTCCGGCGGATTAAGGACGTAGACATGGTGGAAAAGGTAGTAATCGAGATGGACAGTGACGAGATTGTAGTGATGGAACTCGCTCAGGATTCCGCAAAGCCCCTTTTCCGCCCAGACGCCAGCTACATCATCGCTGGTGCGTTTGGAGGTATAGGCCAGAGCATTGCTAGGTGGATGATACAACATGGAGCCAAGCATCTCATCTTACCATCAAGGTCACCAGTCGATGGCACTGGATCAGAGCGTGATCACTTGGTGCAGGAACTGAAAGCTCAAGGCGCAGCGGTATATGCTCCGGTGTGCGACATCGCCAATCGTGATCAGCTTAGGGATATGCTTATGTCCTTTGCTCATCTTCCGGCAGTCAGGGGATGTATTCAAGCAGCAATGGTAATGCGAGATTCGTCCTTTGCGAACATGACAATGGAGAAGTGGCACGAGTCGCTCGCGCCCAAGGTAGACGGCTCCTGGAACCTACACCAGCTCTTACCGCTGGGCCTCGATTTCTTCATCATGCTGTCATCCTCAACTGGCATTATGGGTTCGTTTGGTCAATCAAACTACACCGTCGGAAACACATATCAAGACGCACTAGCAGCACATCGAATGCGCCACGGCCAGCGCGCCCACGCTCTCGCACTCAGTATGGTCACAGGCGTCGGCTACGTTGCCCAGAACGACCAAGTACAAGCTCTACTCCGCGTACGTGGCATGCTGGAGGAAGTACCCATGGATGATATCTACAACCTTCTCCGGTTCTGCTGCGACCCGGAGCGTGTTGACACTAGCACAGTCGGTTCCCAGATCATCACACCCTTGACTCTGCCGGCTGATCTTCGAGCAATGGGTATCGTTGCACCTCTGGGTAGTACGCGGCCAATCTACCACTACTTGGACACACTTCCCTCACGCTTCTCCTCGGACACGGCATCCGCCGAAGCCAAGGACCGCCCTTCGTACAAGCTTTCCGAAGCTACTTCGCTGGCTCAAGCTACAGATATCGTTGTCGAAGCTATACAAACTCAGCTATCCAGTCTTCTCGTCGTTAGCAGAGATGACATTGACTCCCAAAAGGCGATTTATCGGTACGGTGTAGACTCTTTGGTAGCGGTGGAGATGCGCAATTGGTTTTCGAAGGCTATCGGAGCGGATGTCGGGACGACGGACATCATGAGTGATATCAGTATCTGGTTATTGGCAGTCAAGGTTGCGGGGAAGAGCAAGTTTGTTAGGGACGAGCTGAAGGAATAAGGGTATGCAGTCGTTGGGCCAGTCGTGTACATGGATCCTTTTCAAAGTAATGGCCTTGTTACTCGCTATCTACGACCCGTGCGATATCTAGTCAGACTGCTAGGTTGCATATTGTGGCGTCGTGGCCGGTTCGAGTGGGTGTATGCTGATTACCTCTTGTAGTCTTGATTAGCTACGCTATCGCAATAGTGCTTCTTGCTCCTCCTTGGAGATACCAAAGAGGTACAGGACGTCCAACATGCTCTTGGAGTTTAGGCGAGCAGGAGCCTGCATCTGCACCTTTGGCTTTGCATGGAAGGCAACACCCAAACCAGCCACACCCATCATGGGAAGGTCGTTGGCGCCGTCGCCGACGCATACAACTTGGTCCAGAAGTATGTTTTCCTTCTCGGCAATTTCCAGGACGTGTTGGCGTTTCTTCTGGGCGTGTACAATTTCGCCAGTCAGTTCGCCGGTAAGCGTGGCTCCGTCGTCGGAAACAACGAGATGATTGGCGAAGGCGTAGTCGAGACCGAGTTGCTGGCCCATCCAGCCCGTCAGCGGAGTGAAGCCTCCACTGAGAACGGCAGTCTTGAAGCCTAATCGCTTCAAAGCGGTGATGAGGTCCTTGACGCCCTCGTTCAGAGTGATGCGCGGCTTCAGCGTCTCGAAGACACTGCTTGGCACGCCCTTCAACAGCTTGCATCGTGCGCGCAGGCTAGCCTCAAAGTCCAACTCGCCGTTCATGGCGGCAGCGGTGATGGCGGATACCTCCTTCTCGACGCCGATCAGCGAGGCGATTTCGTCGATGACCTCCTGCTGTATCAGGGTGCTGTCCATGTCAAAGACAGCCAGCCTCTTGTATCGGCGGTGAACCGTGTCTGGCTGGAAGACGCACTCGGTGTTCCATTTGCGCTCGAAGCGCGATACAGCCTCATGCCTCCGCAGTGTCTCGAGCGCGATGGGCGAAGCGCTGTGCAGCGGGAAGGTGACTTCGACTACCCTGCAGAGCTTGCTCGCCTCGAGCCTCCTGCTCGTTATCGTGTTCTGCTCCAGGCCGGCGATGACGCTGGTGAGGGTGGCGAAGAAGTCTGTGAGGCAGCTTTGGCTGATGTAGCTTCCATAGAGGTTGTCGAGGGCGTTGGGCCCAGGAGTCGGCGGCTCGAGCGGGTAGTCTGCAAGGTCCTGGGTAGGCACGACGCCGTCTTTTAGCGACTCGAGCGAGGCGGATGGGATGGGGTCGCCGGGACTGCGTGGGGACAAGTCTGCATGCTGGAAGAAGTTTGGGGTGTCGGCCTTGTAGAACAGCGTCGCGACGAGGTGCGTGGCCGAGACATCGAGGGCGGGGGGCTTGGCCGTCATGATGCCATGGATCGAGTAGTCGGATGAGAGCAGCTCGAGGACAGGCAAGCAGCCGTGATTTGTTCGCAAGCAGCCGTGACTTGTTCGCAGGCAAGGCGGGGGTGCATGCGACTGGAAATTTACGCAGGGATCCAGGAACAGCCCCACCAGCTCATGTAACCCCCTCTGGGCATCTCAGGCACCCTATGGATGCGCGACCCAGCACCAGCGAGCCGAGGCTGCTCGTTTTTAGTGCACCTTGCGAGCTGAAGCACCAACATGGCCGTACACGTCCCCCACGATATAAGAGGCATCCCCCAGCTCCCACTTCCATGCCCCTCGTTCTAGTTAGCTTTGCACAGCACAAGACACAGCCATGGACGACTACAAGCCACAGAAACCAAACATTGTCCAATCGCTGCCCATCGACGTAACCGTCCCCTACGACGCAGCCTGGGTCAAGGCCAAGGTCATACTGATAACCGGAGGAGCGAGTGGCTTCGGCGCAGGCTTCGTGCGACAATGGGTGGCTGCCGGCGCAACCGTCATTGTCGGAGACATCAATGTGCACAAGGGAGACGCCCTGTGTCGTGACATCAACAAGGACAGTAAGAATGGCGGCTCTGCCCACTTCGTACACTGCGACGTGACAGACTGGCAATCGCAGGTCAACCTCTTCAAGGAAGCAGTCAAGAAGAGCCCACATGGAGGTCTCGACTGCGTCGTCGCAAATGCTGGCATAGCAGGCCGCGACGTCCTACAGGAAGGTGTCAACCTTGATGCAGCCGAGCCACCCCCGCCCGCCTTCAAAATCATGGATGTAAACCTCACTGGTGTGCTCTACACTACTCACCTTGCCTGTTTCTGGCTACCTAAGAACCCGGGTTCCTCGCCCTGCAGCTTGAACTCGACGCCTTCCACCACATCCCCTCGCGACCGCCATATACTACTGTTAGGCTCCATCGCCTCTCTTGCGCCCATTGCGATACAGCCGCAGTACTGTGCTGCAAAGCATGCAGTCCTCGGTCTCTTCAGAAGCCTGAGGGTTACCAGCGGCCTTCAAGGCATACGTGTGAACCTTCTCTGTCCGTATTTCATCGACACGCCCATTGTGACAGCTGGTGCGCGATTCATACTCGCAGGAGGCGGATTGGGCAAGGTCGAAGATGTAGTCGATGCAGGAACACGCTTCGTTGCCGATTCGCGCATCCTCGGCAGGGCCCTTGTTGTAGGACCCAAGATGCACGTCCGTCAAAAAGATAATGGCGAGTGGGAGCTCGTCACTCCTGGCGCTCCTGACAGTATTGAGACGGCAGTTTTCGAGCCTTATGCCGATGATTGGGAAGATCAGGATCAATGGAACCGTACCTTTGTCAAGATTTTGAACATGGTCCAGGCTGGGAGAGGCTGGGTTGGATGGGCGCAGGACATTGTCAAAGCATCGCTGTACAGTCTGGGCCTCGGGCGGTGATAACTCGTCGTGAAGCTACGACTATGTCCAGGAGCATAATCAAACACTATCGTCATCAGACACCATGATGCGTTGGCTTTGCCGGCAACAAACACCTTCTGGCGCTAGAACTATTGTGCAGTAGTGGCCAACCAATGGAAGATGGAGGTCAAAAGCGTTCTCAGCTAGCTGCATTGGACCAAAAACCCCTCCAAAAGTGCTTGCAGATCGAAAACCGGCTACTTCCAGAAGCCGACTAAGCTAGCTGACCGGGATGTTGATCACCCGGGGATGTTGATCACTCACAAATCTCAGCACTCCCACACAAAACACGTGTTTATTTTCTTAACGTAGCTATAATTGCCACTCCGTACACATAGAC